CTCTCTCTCTCTCTCTCTCTCTCTCTCTCTCACACACACACACACACACACACACGCGTAAATACAAGTCGTTTCTTATGTTTCAAGGGGGTTTGCCATCATCATCACCGGTATTGTCGTCACCGTCATCATCGTCGTTATCGTCGTTATCGTCGACGTCGTCGTCGTCATCATTGTCGTCGATTTCGTCGGCATCGTCGCGACCAACTTCGTCGGAATCGTCGGCGTCAAGATCGTCGTCATCGTCACTCTCATCGTCGTCGACGATTTCCTGCAGCGATGAAGATACCGAGAGCGATGAATCTTGTCATTGCGGTGATGTCTGATGAAGGCGCTGGAGCTCTCTCTCTTTCTCTTACCTCTTTGAGAGACGTCGAGGTGAAAGCTTCGTTTGCGCCTGGCAATTGGAAGTCTCATCATCGAGAGACTTCTTACTTTCCTCGCAAACGTAAATTTATTATTTATATAAATTAATAAAGTGATCAATTATTTATTAGTTTATCATAAAATAATAAACCGAATGTTTCATCTTACGAGTATCGCGGAGTAAGGAATATGGATGCGAGACAAAATATTTTGTCGCATTCGTGAGATATTTATTATCCTGTGATACATTCGTGCATGCTACATGATGATTATGTGTATGGTTTTATATTTATATGTTATTGCGCGCGCGCATATATACATACGAAGGTCGCGATCAATTATACACTGTGGACAGCGTAATGAGTTATACACTCTGCAACTCGCGATAAACAAACGCCGAGATAAACTGTGCCTTCAGCCCACTTTAGACTCTGTAATTTTCATGACAGCATTCTGTTCGCGGGAAAACATTGAAGAGTCAAAAATTACAATCCTAAAGCACAGTAAGCGTACAATATCCGCCATTTGCGATTTATCACGTCATGTTGATCGCGCGTCCACTTGTGCATATAATCGTATCGCCCCGAAGATGCTTCCATTTTTATTAGTCGAGATTAACAGTTATCACGTCTCTCCGAATTCCGGTTCTCACGAACTCACGTTCAACTCTACCGCGAATCGGACTGCGCGTCGCAAACTTAATCGAATAAATGTACTCATGATCGAATTAATTGTATACTTACGACATTTCCTAGAAAAAAATGTACTATGTTTCAATAACAAGAGAACAAAGTAAAGATAGTCTTAATTTTTTTTCCACAACAAAATGTTGCGTTTTTAATTTGAGCGTGAAGCAAAGACGATCCCGTCACGCGCGACGAAATTACATATCCGACCTCTTTTCCTTCCTTTCCTGAAAAACCGACCGAGAATCTCGAGAGTCTCGCGGAGTTCGAGACTCAAGAAGACTTGATCACGCGAATAAACGCACACTGCTAAGTCCACGTGTATTATTTTTAAACGCATGAGCGCGCAATTTGGCTGAAGATCTTCCTACGCGTTTCTTGCGATCTTAAATCACATCATTTAACACGTTTAAGACGCGCGAGTTATAATCTAACACGTTCAAAAGTGTTAAATGACTCGAAACAGTGTAAAAAACAGAGATTCAGTCAAAATAACACACTTGACTGCATGTGGTGTGCGTGCTGTACGCTTACGTGGAAACGACGCAGCTGGAATGCGATTGCGTAACGCAGATAAAATCGAAATAAGAGATTACCTCGCGGATGAGACGACGACTGCGATCCCGCAATGACATGCAAATATTTAGATAAGATTGTCTACCCGCGCATGTGTGTAACAGTACTCGTGTGAGCGATATAAGTGTACATATATATACATATATATATATATGTGTGTGTGTGTGTGTATACATGGAACTGCTATTATTGCATGAATAATAAGCCATAGACTCGCGCTGATCTATTTAAGCGCACAGAAATAGCACCTTGCGATTGCAAAAGGCAATGCAGAGAGGCAAGGCGATCCCCCTCGGGGGATCGCCTTTTATCAGATAAAATCTATATTCCCGAACGCGCTGTCAATCTCACGTTTTCTAAAATCAGTAATGAGAGAGATATCGGCAAGATCCGAGGTGAGTGATTGTCGATCCCGGAAATAGTTGTTCTTTACAAGTCGTGACTCAAAACAGAGTATTCGGTATCCCTCACCTTCTTAGAAGTATTTCACACAAGAAAATAATTTTGCAACTTTACTCGATTTTACTTTGTTAAGAAATGCATTTTGCATATTTGAAAGTTCTGTCTTCCAACACACACATATCACGAGTCGCACGCTATAAAAGACTGATCAAATTGATGCGATACTTAGAGTGAATCACGAACTGAAAATACGATGTGTGAGATGACACTTGCAAAGAAGTCTTCTTAGAAGTATCTTACACAAGAAAATAATTTCATAATTTTCTATTATTATATTATACTCCAAGAGAAAAAATGTCTAAGAAATAAATAATGTTTATTCATTGGATGCTAACAACATACTTATACTAATACAAAATATCTTTCAAAAGAAAAGATACATTTTTTTAAAAACGAAAATTTTCATGAGAACAATAATTCTTGTTTTATTTAAGGGGACTGGAGAGTCAGATTGCTTAACTTGATTGAAAATCGTGCTTGTTCTTTCAATTTTTTATGACAAGCTGAATAAATATGCAAAAGTGTTATTTTGACGTGTATTTATACAACATATAAAGAGAAGAAAAATATAATTTTGATGATCAAATATTCAATATAAGTGTATGGTACATGCAGTTCAAATATATTTCATTTTTCTTTTCAAGGTCATCATTTTGCATAATATCTTAACTCTCGGTGGTTCAATTAAGCTGTATTTTAGAAATTTCCGTAAACTTGTCGTTATCGTGTGAACCACTGACAAACTCGTGAAAATATTTAATTTTGAAATATTAATTTTTTTACTATAAGAGAACTGAAAATTTAATAATATTCTATTAAGATATTTGCAATTTTGTTAACTTTTACTCAATTTCCATTATAGTGGTTCACACGATAACAACCTTACGGAAATTTTCTACCTAAAATTCAGCTTAATTGAACCATCGAGAGTCAAGATATTACTGCAAAATGACGACCTTGAAAAGAAAAACGAAATATATTTTAACTGCATGTATCATACACTTATATTGAGTATTTGATCATTAAACTTATATTTTTCTTCTCTTTATATGTTGTATAAATACACGTCAAAATAACACTTTCGCATATTCGTTCAATTTGTCATAAAAAATTGTGAAAAAACAAGCACGATTTTCAGGCAATCTGACCCTCCAGTTCCCTTAAGGAAAAAAAAGAATATAGATTTAAGTGAATACGCCATTAGAGTGTCCATAGAATATTTTGTACTCTTTTGGACACTTCTCTTTACAATAAATTCATTGCAAGATGAACATGAGAATACGTATCTTTTGCTCACGCTCTATACGTGACAAGTAAAAAAAAAGAATATATTCTTCAATTTCCCGAGGGAGAAAATTCGGTCACATGTGATCGTCGTAAAGGGGCGAGACGCAATGATCGTTAGTCGGTGCGCGTGCAATATGCTCGAATATAACGCGGGGGCGACAACGCGGGGCGGAAAGGCGCGCAAAGAACGTTTTCCTCGAGGCAGCGCGTTTATCCGCTTGGCACTGAAAAGTCGGCGGGAATGATGGCGGGAAAGCCTGTGCGCAGAGCCGGTCACGTGCGCCTGTGCAACGTGCTGGCTGTGTTGGGTTCACGGCCCGGCTCTACCTTGCCACTGCAGCTAGAAGTTGTGACATAATAGGCTTCGCCAATCACCTACAGCGCGTTCGCACTAACTGCGCACTCAAATCCGTTAACGCCGATCATGAAGGATTCAATTCAGCTAACTGCACTCGTCGCAAATTGGCAGACGTGTGAGAGAAATACTTATAAATAATAAAACAACGAAATTCACAAGTTATTTAATTTACAAGTTAATTAATTCTGATTGACAATCGCGGCGATCGATTTACGAGTTAATTAATTTCGATTGACAATCGCGGCGAAACGTGGTATCGGTTAATATGCGAATTTATCTACTTATCTATATTGAGAAAAAAAATATTACAAATTAACCAATATCGATTAAATGGATACACTGTAAAACTGATGTGTTAAATTTAACACATTTTATGTGTCCCAAATCATCCACTCTCATTTATGTGTAAATTTAACACAAAACAAATGTAAAAGTAACACAAAATAAAAAGTAACACGCATAATATGGAAAAAATTAACACAAGAATTTAACACTTGAATACCGTCAGGAATCACAGTTTGTATTAAATTGACATATTTAATATGTCAGACGTAGATTATGTCAATTTAACATTTTCATCTCATCAAAACCATAGATTAATACTTCTCTCAAATGTTAAAGTAACGTTTCATTTTAGTTAATTAATAACATGTGTCAATTTAACACAAACTGTGATTCCTGACGGTATACAAGTGTTAAATTCTTGTGTTAATTTTTTCCATATTATGCGTGTTACTTTTTACCACATTTGTTTTGTGTTAAATTTACACATAAATGAGAATGGATGATTTGGAACACATGTTCTATTCAAAATGTTAAATTTATACACATCTAAATGTTAAATTTAACACTTCAGTTTTTACAGTGTACAATTAACATATTTATTTAAATCAAAATTCCTTTTATTTAAATCTAATAAATATGTTAATGGTATCCATCTAATAAATATATGTTCATTTTTAAATATTTCTTTTTCAGTGTACTCTCTCGCGCGCGGATTTTCGCGAATCAAACCAAGTGGCAGCGAATGTTTACACTAGGTTTGTTCGAGTTGCTTGTACTTTTCACACTTTTATACCTAATGCCCATTGCACACTAGTGCACCCCAAACAACACAAATTTTCCAAAATACATTCTAAAGACGTTTTTAGGACGGAGGGACGTCATCAGAATATTCTTAGGATGTACTGAAAGTGTGAACTATCTGAAAATAGTTAATATTTAATATATTTATTCGTATTAATTGAACTTTTCACACTTTCACATTTGGTGCACATTATTTCTTTAGAGGTTCTAAAAATGACGTCATGTTTTCCGCTCGTGTTACGAGTGTAAATGCAGTATAATTATGTTACACTTTTCACTCTTGCTTGGGATCAAGTGTAAAAAATGTATCAGAATTGCATTTATACTCGTAACACGAACGGAAAACATGACGTCATTTTTAGAACCTCTAAAGAATTAATGTGTACTAAGTGTGAAAGTGTAAAAAGTTCAATTAATACGAATAAATTTGTTGGATATTAGCTATTTTCAGACAGTTTACATCTTCAAAGGGTATCCTAAAAATATTCTGATGACGTCCCTCCGTCCTAAAATAACATTTTCAGAACATATCTTGGAAAATTTGTGTTGCTTGGGGTGCACTAGTGTGCAACGGGCATCAGATGTGAATAGTACAAACAACTCGAACAAACCTACTGTTATTTCTGCGAGACATGTATTGTCCTTCGATATCCTGCACTTTTCACCCGCACAGTCGCGTCCTCGATCGAATTTCTTCACCGGCGATTAATTTTCAATTATTCCTCACTGCTGACGCGTGTGCATGCATGTGTGTTAACATACCTCTGAGCTCTTCCAATATATGTGCAAAATTACGCGAGACAACGAAAGGGCGGTCGAACGACAAAAATCGCGAAAAGTCGCATAAACAGTCATACGCACACACACACTCGCCGCCGAATCTAGGACGTGAAGTGTTTATATTAACATTACCGTCCTTTTTTCCCCCCTCCGATGACGCAAGCACATCGTCGAAGCCGCTTCGCAGCTAATATAAATGTTCCCGCGTTTTATGGAGCGGTGAATTTTCTCGGCGATTACACGGCACCGCCACCGCCACCGCCGCCGCCGCCGTTGTCGTGTGCCCCAGGATAATGAGAATTAATTTTAGATACAGCTTCGCCGGCGAATATTTCTGTCGCTAGTTTTACCGTTAACGATAATTTAGCTCGTTGCGCGGCCGCGTTATTACGACACACACCTCGCGCCAGCCGAGCCGACCGCTGGCTCGGATAGTTGGAGTTAGGTAAGACAAACTCCGCCAAAGGTCTCCGTCCAGTCACATTGTTCGGAATCCAGGTGGGAGCACTCACCGCTCGGATAATGGCAATGCCCGCGGCATACAATTAGTGTCTTGGTTACG